GCCGTCATCAATCCATGGAAAAGACTTCTCCAACACAAAACGGCTCTTCTAGAAGCCACTCCATACAAAAAAGGCAATGACCAAAAGTCGCAAACCACTTGAGTTGTATGTTGTTGACGGTTGATTCCTTTGACGCTTACTTGCATCAAAACATGTTGCTCTTTTATCTGTTGATTAAGTAGCCGAAACACTATGTTTTGTGTATCAGGAATTTAATACAAACTGATAAATCTTAACTACTGTAGCAACACGTCCTGATATGGTAAGAAATTTGAAAAATGCGCCGAAATACAGCTCCCAATCGGCTAACGATCGTCCGCCATATTGACAACAAGATCATTCATTCTTAACTTTCCGCATGCGCAGTAACTACGAGATCGCTTTTTCACGTCACAACCTCTCGACCAATCAGCCGTTTTTAAGCCCTGTCGGGCTCAGTTAATTCCAACCGATCTAATGACCTTTTAGTCGAAATTTTCGCAAATATTGGTATAAAAAACTGAGAAGTGGTCAAGTGGAGCATCGGTACATTCATGTTAGATAACTTGACAGGTATTATTATTATTATTATTATTATTATTATTATTATTATTATTATTATTATTATTTATATTTTTGTAACTGTTTGATCGATGCACAGGTTGGACAAGCGGAGCTGTATATCAGACTTGTGAATAGCCGTGACGTCACGTCACAGGATGCCCTAAACGCACAACCCATACAACATTACATGTACAAATATCCAGCCTTGGTGAGTGGTCATTCGCGTTGTAAAGGTCAGGCAAAATTGGTAAAGAAGTAAGCACACCTTAAAGAGAAGAAGCAGTTTTTTCGTCTCTTCCTCGAGGATCGGATGGTCGGAGGAAGGAGTAGCAATACAATTAGTTACAATGCGTTACAATGCAAAACAACTTTCTTAGCATTTTGTTTTCTATTTGCAAAGTCACCCGAAACATTTTGATCTTTTTCGTCCTTTGCACTTCTCTAACGTTGGCAAAGACAGTCAACTGTCGCCTTGCCGACGCCCCGCTATAACGGACAGCAGCTAAATCCCAGGCAAAAATAAATAGCAGACGTTTGACTGAAATAAACTCTCGCTATGACGGACTCTAGGTAATGGGGACACTAACTCAAGGTCCCTACATTGTCCCCTATAGAGGAAGTTGACGTACTTTGAAAATCTATTTCAGGAAAACATCCGCGTGGTACCACATATACGTCACTCTTCTCCACAACAGGTCGATTTTCCTCCTGCGCCACCCCCGTCAGTGCCTCCTCCACCCGACACCCCGGTGTCTGCTATTCAACGGGTTGAAAGGTGAGTGACAAGTGCATATCCTCCAGAGACTTGGTAGCCAGCGCCACCGACTGGTTTTCCGTCTGCGAGCCTGAGCCGAAATCCTTGTTCTTGACCCTCACCTGTCAACCAGGATTTGAGTATGCCTCATTATTGGCCTATTAAAGGAGCCATTGTCAATTTTCCAATCAGGTTTAAAGGGAAATTCGAGACGTACTTTCGGTCATACATTGACTCTGTCGGGGACCCAGAGAAGGGCTCACGGCGCTGCTTTGCAGACGTTATTCGCCGCAGTTAGATTACGTTACGACACAGAGTGGGGGCAAATCACAGGGCCCAGTATTTCTGGCACATTTTGAGCTTAAGATGGAATCCATCAGGAAATTAAGTAATTTTGATGTTCAGTGGACAAAAATCTTGTACCAGAAAAATTTGAAGAATATTGCATTCTTTCTTACATTTTTCAAGGGCTAAAGATGTAATAAATCATCTGTAGTAACACCAAAAAATTCTTATGGAAGCCCGAGAAAATGAATGTCAAATTTCACAAAATTACATTTTACACATGAAATTTTTGGAATCTTACCTGCATAATCACAATTCTTGTGAAATTTGACATTTATTTTCTCTGACTTTTATGAGAAATTTTCTTTGGTGTTACTACAGATGATTTATTACATCTTTAGTCCTTGAATGATGTAAAAAAAGAATGCAATATTCTTTAAATTATTCTGGTACAAGATTTTTGTCCACTGAAAATTAAAATTACTCAATTTCCTGATGGATTCCGTCGTAATTATTTTACAAGGAGTGTCCTTGTGTAAGATATTTTCATGCACATCTCTAAAGATAAATATTGCATAGATAGTATGGTTAGCTCCTTAGGAAGAACGCTAGTTTGCTGGGCGGTAGGTCGAGAGTTCGGAACCCTGTCAGGACCACAGAGCAAGATCAAGCTAGCTGTGATTTAAAATCTTGTCTCTGTTAAGATGATCGTGTTGTATTTGGCAGCGATGTTAAACCGTTGGCTTTGCCTCGTCCAAGGCATTTCTCGAACAGATTAGGGACGTAAACCCCTGTGGGGGTATGGTCTATCTTTGATGGGGTTAAGGGACTGTTAGGGCCCGCAGCACTAGGTTTACTCGTTGTTACGGTTACAACTCCAAGGATTGGCAAACCTATTAAACTAAATAAAAAGCTCTTGTAATTTTGATACTTTGAAAAACACACAAGTGCAAATAAGTTCCAAATTGAACCAATACATATAAGATTTTAAGAGAGCAAATTATTTTTATTTCTTTTTGGGTTAATGATTTAGTGCTCCAAAGACACCGATTGAGGATTCAGTTGTTGGCTTTCAAGTGGATAAACTAGTAAATGCGATCCGAGGAGAGTCGAGGATAAAAATTACTGTCTATGAACATGATCAGGGCCAGGTAAGTGGTAATGCTTATTTTTATCAATCAGTAAACAAATCTATTAATCCATTATAAAGCAAGTTACTAAATGTTTCTGACAATCAGTCAGTCGGTCAGTCAAAGAGTCAGTGAATCAGCCAGTCAGTCAATGAGTCAGTCAATCAATGACTCAATCAGTCAGTCAGTCAGTCAGCCAGTCAGGCAATGAGTCGGTCAGTCAGACAGTCGATGAGTTAGTCAGTCAGTCAGTCAGTCAGTCAGGCCGTCAGTCAATGAGTCAGTCAGTCAGTCAGTCAGTCAATGAGTCAGTCAGTCAATGACTCAGTCAGTCTTTCAGTCATGCAGTCAGTGAACAGGTGAGATAGATCCATCTTTCCTATTTCCTTTCTTTTTTTCGTATTCGAGTAACTTCTCCATGCACCAGACATTCCATCCTCCATTCGTTCGTTCATCCGTCTATTTTCACTTTTCACTTTGACTGCCGGCAAATTCCCTGACCCAATTTGATTATTGTGTCTCAGGTGATCAAAGGGGATAACGATAGACCTGTAATTTGTATCACGAAGGCTGCTAAGCAAGACTTCCTTGAGGGTATATACTCCTTCGGACTACAAGAGGTAAATTAGTTTACTAACGGTCCGTAGTTCTTACGTCTGCGTATTTTCAGAACGGTTGTTTGTAGACAGATAACTTTTCAAAACCCCCCTCAACATACGAAACAACCAACATAATAATAATGAGCGACTCTTTTATTGTAATTCTTTGCCTTATTGTCATGTAAATTGAAGATCGATCTGTCACGTCACGCAAGGGAATCCAAGGCAGTCTGGGATTCTGGATTCCACGCCGTGGATTCGGATTCCAGGTACTGGAATCCGGATTTTTTGTCAGTAGAATTTGGATTCCGGACTCCAATCGTTAATGGGATTCCAGATTCCTTGAGCCGTTTTCCAGATTCCACAAGGAAAAAATGTCGGGATATTTCTGGAATCAGGATTCCCTTGCATTGGGAGAGATTCTTCGGAGCTACTGCGTTCATTTTCCTTGTCTTTGTTTGTTTTTGCTCTTTGGTTATTCTCGCCAACCTTTACAGAGGGAATTCGAGTCTTCGGATAACACTTTGCTATCGACGCTATGGCAAAGCAATCATAATAGGAGTTTTCTGAAACCCAGCCATCGAACAAATACTTTTTGTTGCAAATCTTTCTTACCCTTGATTATTTGCCATTCAAACAAACTTTCGGCAAAAATACAATTTTACAAAATGTTTTTATTCTTCAAAACCCAAAACTTTCAATATTAATCTGATCTACACGTTTTGTCTTGATGCGAAACGCGGTTTAATTTAAAATACCCAATCACGTCTTGAATTTCTGCACAGATTGTCCACTGGTTGTTTTTAAGGGTTATACTATGACTTTAAAATATAACATCGCCCCCTAACAGCTTATGTGCATGTGAATTGTTGGAAATGGCAGTAATGCAATTTGTTTTTCCGAGTGGACGATGATTCATTCAAGTTAAATGTTTCTATTATAATTATGATAGTTGTTTTCGAAAATGACCATAGATGGTGGCAGAAGAATGCGCTGTTAAAGTCTTTTTGATAAAATAAATAAATAAATAAATAAATAATAATAATAGTAATAATAATGTTGAGAAAGAGGCCTTTACGTATCCATCATCGCGACAAAACAACAGGGTTCCTGTGCACTTAGCACAGGTCAGTTAATTATGGTCTCTTTTTTCACAACTGTAACCGGTGGTACGTCTCCATTACGACTTATCCATTTGATCTTTACTTGCTTTGTTCTGCTTCTGTGTTCTGTCTCGCCGTCTTTTCCCTTGAACGTTTCCAGAGGTTCTTCTAATTCTTCTTCAACCACAATATACTCGCCATTTTGTTGCGTTCCGTTGGGAAAAATATATGTACCCGGCCCGATCATTTTGTCGTCGTGGAAATTTCCAATGTAGCTCTGTTTCCCGAACGTAAGCTTGCCTCTTCCTGCAAACATAAAGAAACTGTTCAAATTTGGTCTTCCGTTTGAGTTCTTTATTTGTTTTGCATCCATGTGAACCTATGATCTATCTGTGCTGCGACGCGTTCTTAACTTTTGTTCGTTTTTGTTAGGCCATTCGCATTATGGCGCCATTTTACTACTACGACCAGAATCCTTCAGGTTTTTGCTTTCTTGTGCAAACTAGAGCTTTTGTTGTTTAAACCTCGCTGGGATTACCAAATTTAAATGTGAAAGGAAAAACGACAAGAATTATGGTCGTAGTAGTAAAATGATACCATCTTGCAAATGGATTTTTTTTTTTTGCGTTAAAAAGTACTTTGGGTGAGCATAAGCCTAAATTTAAAGAGGCTTGAAAAACCGCTGTTCCTCGGCCTTAGTTCAAGTTCTTATAATTTTTTGCAATCTAAAGCGATTTAATTTTTAACAAAAAATGTGTAAAAAGTGGACAATTTGGCGTCAGACAAAAGCAGTAAAATCGATGGGAGGCTGCGATATCCATAGACGTTTTTTTGGCGCATAGAAATAATGAGACTGAACGACTTGTCAAATTCAGTAATACGCTTTATTTCTCAGTTTTTATTGCATGTTATTTGCATATTGCTTTTTTTTTTGTATTCATAGTCTGTTTTTTTCCGTTTGTAATTCGTTCATTCTAAATTCGAATGGTCAGTTTACAAAAATATTTTAGTGACGTATTTTTTATTATAATATTATTATTTTTTGCTGTTTTGACGAGTTTCTGAGATTTACCAGTGAGACTTTAGAATACATTTCTTATTGTTTACCCTTCACGATTTTAAGTTGTCATGTTTCACGAAAGTGAAGGTTAAATCGCTTTTATTGACAGTTTGACTGACCATATGGAACAAGTATGTTTTTAATATTTGCATAAACTTAAACCGTGCAGAAATGTGAATCTGGTTTCTTTGTCTTGCGCTTGTGCTGCTTTTTAGTTATTAATGCAATGCGATTTCGTTTTTTAAATATTTTATGAAATTATTACTTCTCATAGCAACCTGCTTCTCGTTCTGTTCGAAGATTTGTGAACATTATGCGATTTACCTCATGACAGTGTCCACCCTGGCGTAATTAAGACCATTTTTTGAAGGTTTTTCTTTCCTTTTTCTTTTTTTTTTTCTTTGTATTCCCCGAAGAAATAATTTTGCTGAAACAATTCTTTCTGAGTCTTCCCGAGCGTCGCTCATATTTATGCATAGGTATACCTTTCGGTGATCAGACTGCGGGCTACATTGTGCAAATTACGTCGGGTTTGATTTAAGGTTCCGATATTACAAATTACCGTATGCAAAACTGTGTGAGCGCTTTAGACGTTTGGCATTTTGAGGCTCTTCGTGTTTGTTAACCTGCATATTGTAGGTCGCAATTTGTTTTGGCTGCGTGAGCATCAAAGAGCTGTTCTGTCGCTTGATTTATCCGTATTCAAGTTAAGTGGGTCTAAGGTTTGATTTATGAACTAAATCCTCTCATCCTCAACAGCCAAATAAAGGTTTCTGCATGTTACTGAATTGATTTTCCTAGTCGGACTGTTTTAATCGTCTGTTTCCCCTACCTGATCTTTTCCCCTCATACCATTGGCCTTCATATGTCATGCCGCTCGCTGCATATGTGTACGTACCTTGTCCATGCCGTCTATCGTGTTCCCATTCGCCCCGATACAAATCCCCGTTTGTATAGAAATACGCTCCGTAACCGTGTCTTAAGTCGTCTTTCCAGCTTCCCTCGTACTTCGCGCCGTCCGGGTACAGAAACGTACCTTGTCCGTTTTTCTTGTTGTTTTCATAATGACCAAGGTAACATGCATTTCGCGTTTTTCCTTTCAGTTTCTTAAACACGTATTTGCCATAACCACTGCGATGTCCGTTCTTGTATTCACCCTCGTATACATCGCCGTTAGGGAGCCTTGCCTTTCCCTTCCCGTGTCTTACGCCATTTTCATTCCGTCCGCCTTCGTACGTATAAGGCAAAATTTCGTTCTCGGAATCCATATCTTCATCGGACTCACGAAGTGTTTCCATGCCACCAGGAGTAAGACCAGCGAATTATTTACTGTTTCAAAAGAATATTCCTTTGGAATGTTTTTTTTTTTTTCGCTTCGATATAAAAAGCGAGAGGTTTTCGTCTCTTTGTCTACGAGCGTAAATCAAATTAAGCGGTGTTTTGCCAGAGACCAAAACATCAACACTGTCGTAATGAAGAAATCTTCGCTGAAAGAACTAACTGTATGTCGCGCCAGATTCTGTTAATCTTTTAACCGTGACGGATGGTCGAATGGCGTTCGAGATCGTTCGCAAATTGGCAAAATTGGTGCGATTGGCGTTAATATTTTAAAAGTGTTTTTGTTTTTGCAAAGTAGAGTCTCTCGCCACAAAGGCAAGGTGCTTTAATTTAACGATTCCTGAATATTTCAATTCGTTCTTCACTGACAAACGTGGGGATCCAAAAAACCGCATAATCGCATCCTAAATAATTAATTGGCTCAAGAGTTTTTTTGCGGTAGCCCTTTTAAATTATCTATATTATGGAAACAAGGATAATTTCTAACCATTTTTGGAAAGATATCCCTCAGGGTGATGTTGTTGTTCTGTAAGGCAGCTTATCGCTTGATTATCCGAAAGCTTTTAGCGTGTTATTGGCTGGGAAGGAACTAACAACAATTGCCTTCAATTAAAATCTACTAGGCACTAAGCTGCAAAATAAAATACTCTTTTTTT